GTGAGTACATACATGTTATATACAAACGATCCACATTTATATCGACACGATGAATTATAATACCGTATAGAGATCGCGCGTCCAACTACTTGGAATCGCCGCAGAATTCGCGATAAATAATTATCAAATAAATTTCAAATACCATAATTGCATCAAATCTGTAAGAAAAACGCATTTTGAAAGTCGGAATAAAGTGAGCAAACTAATTACACTCTAGATGCTTTGAGGATTCCTTCGAAAATCTTATCTTAAGTGAGATTAGCGTCGTGTGATATCCTCTTTTCATGATGACACCAATCTCATTTAAAATACCCAACTACATTCTAATGCGTAATGCAGATAGCATTTATTTCTTAATGCCAAAATGTTGAGGCTTTAATAGTTTTTAAATAAAAATTAAGTGCTTGAAAATGATCAAATAAATTGTTAGAAATTCGTATTTATGTTCTACGATATATGTACATATACATTCGCGTTTATACGATACATATACGCATATATTATAACGAAATTTTTTTTATGTTGTTTCAAGAATTCCGTTATACAGGACATCCGTTGAAAATACGACGAGACACCGGCGTTCATCGGGAATGCCTTGGTTGGGTATAAATCTAGATTATAAAGATCTTCAGTACTACGGTACTATCGGAATTGGAACTCCACAGCAGAAGTTTAAAATACTTATCGATATTGGTTCATCAGATCTCTGGGTGCCATCCAAAGACTGCGACATTACCCAAGCTGCTTGCTGTAAGTATATCGTAACATCGCTACCTAGCTCTCTCCCCGACATTCTATTATTCCTATATGTACATTTGTATTTAAAAAATTAATGTTTTAAGTATTAAAATAATCTTAATAATTTTTTTCTCGTTTGATGATTGATATCAAGTAAAAATATAAGATAAGAATAATGCTGCAGAATTGTATCTATTCCATTTACATTTCAAGTAAAGTTATAAAATCTTTAAAGCAACCGTTTCAGAGATTCGAATCAGTGGTAAGGTAAATATTATGTAGCTAAGTTCCATACTTACATACTCTCTTATTTACATTATTTAGCACACTTACTTTAAAGATACAAATAATTTCTTATACAAAACAGCTCACATGTTAAGCAAAAAATGTAAACATAAATATAAGTTGATGATTTAACTACTGTTAGTTATATATTTAGATTAATATAGAGAAACTTATATTTCTAGATTCTTCAATATTAACTGATTTAATTTTATTTACTATTTTTTGCAGTGAAACATAATAAATATGATAATACAAAGTCGCACACATACGTTCGAGACAGAACCAGGTTCAATATATCGTACCACAATGAAAAATGGCAAGAGGTCAAATTGTACGGACAGATATCAATCGATAACATAATGGTAAGTCAAGTAAATGATATATTTAATTCTAATCACAGTCATAAATCTATGAAAATTTTCCAAAAAGCACATGTTGCTATTTTTCTCCGGAAAAAAAAAACCGCGCGCAATTATACTTTATTAATAATATCAACGTTTCGTAGATTGGTGGCCTACTGGTTACATCACAGATGTTTGGCGCAGTATTAAAATTTCCGACACAGTTTTGGGACCAGTCACAATGTGACGGCGTTCTGGGGATTGGTTATTCCAAATCATCTCTCTTAGGGACGCGTAGTGTCTTTGAAAATATGATTCGTCAAGGCGTGGTGTCCAAACCAATTATTAGCATCTATCTCAACCAGTATGTATTTTTCCGTATGCCTCACGTGTGTTTAATACTATTTTCTAAATTACATATTTTGTCTTTCCGTGCAATGTAAAAAATATACAACCTATACAGAAATTACGAGAACTTCCCTGACGGCGGTTTACTGATATTAGGCCCAATCATGCCCATTACGTGGGCGAGTTTACGTATGTGGATGTTACCCGCCGCAAATATTGGCAATTTACAATGGATAAGTATGTAGTTTTTTTTCTAAATTAGACGTATGTTAACCGCGGATTATATGTCAGCTAATTGGTAATGCTATCCCACTGTAGGATTGAAGTAAAAAATGTCGGCTTATGCGCGGCAGGCTGTCAAGCTATCGTCGACCTTGGCTTTTCTAAGATAGGAGGACCACCGCGGGAAATCGCAGTTCTTAAGAGAGAAATCGGTGTTGTTAATAACACGGTAATTTATTATCTCTTTCTGCAATGGCAGCTTTCACAATTATCTAAAATAAATTATTGAAATAAATTAATAAATGTTTGATAAGCTACGGATTATTAATATGGATTACTAACATTGACCTTCGTTTAAAGGTGCCATGCGACGATGATTATATTTTAAATTTGGCCCCTATCATTTTCGTCATAGGTGGTAAGACGTTTCGACTCTCTAGTGAAGATTATATCCTGAAGGTAAAGAATATTATTATATAAAGGTTTAAATTGTTTTTAAAATATTAGAAATAATTTATGCCATATTTAATGTCTCATAGGTAACAGAAAACAATTGCGTCCTCGGCTTCCAGGATAAGCCGACTGATATTATTAATGGAATAGAATGGATTTTGGGCGATGCATTCATTCGCAGATACTACACCATGCTCGACATGGAGAACAATCGACTGGGATTCGCCACTGCAAAAAATTAAATTTTGATTGCTTTATCATGAAGTTATCATTAAATATTAGGAAATCTAAAAGACATTACTAAACAAATATAATAAGTCATAGTTTTTTTAGAATATCG